AGTGTGATTGATCCACAGGCTCCGGCCATTCCAGTGACCATAGTCAGTGCCGAACTGCACAGTATGATAACTAAGCCTTGAAAACCATGCGCCGGCCTTCGGGTCAAACCTACCTGTTTGAATGTCTAGGATGTTTAAGGATGGTAGGATTGCGGGCTCTACTTTAAGTAGTAGATAAATGCAATAAGCCAGACACCCGCAGCTGTAAACCTAAACATCGAAAAGTCCTTTTACTTCGAGTGGTAGTTCCACAGACGAAGTCAGAGGTATGTTAATGATTTGGTTTTAAAGAGCGTTCTTGTATTTGTTTTCAAATTAAAACGTTGATAAATCCATTATCCCTGCAAGACAAAGGTGAACTCCTTTTCTTGGGGATCCTTTAAGACATTAATCCCATGAATATATTTTCTGATTTAGTATGGCATAGAGCACTAAGGGTTGAAGTAACTTGAACATTTGTAAAATCGCAAAATATTTAGTTACTTTCTTATGTTAGGTACTTGATTTTACTAGTATCATTCAGTATGAATTTGAAAAAAGTCTAAAATGAAAGCGTAGTCCTGTACTCGTAAATTGAAGACAGTCAAGAATTTTAATCTAATATGCTTGATGACAGCAGCATAGATGCACATGTCTTAAATGAAAGTGAAATTGCTTTCTTCTCACGTTTCATCTCCTCTGTTATGGTCGAAGAGGATTCTGAAATAACCATTTGAATTAATTTTCACTTTTTAGAAACATCCCAATGGAATACGTGAGATTTGGACGACATGTCGCATTTAATTAAAAACTTTAAAAAAATCTTTGAAAGAGGTATAGGCACAGTCTTCTGTACAAACGATGTATTATCATTTGTGCACTCAGACACCAGTGCACCATCGTGGACTGACAATTCCAATCGTTAGCCGCAATGACGCTTGTGAACATCAACTGCGTTCGTTTGCAGGGCCATAGCAGCGAAAACATGCAAAATTTTTATGTTGAAGCATACTTTCGGGCATTATTGCTCATCCCTACACCGTACCTCCTTGCAGGCCTTATTTTTGTCAGAATAAAATTCGGTGCAGAACAAGCTACTAGCAAATTGTAATCAGCAAATGGTGGGCTCCGAGACGCTAAAATCGGAATTGAAAAAACTTTTGTCAACCTCAAGACTCATCTACAGGGGGTATGGCTTTTCACTTGGACTGCGGAAGTGGCATAATATCCTTTAAAATGAAGCTATGACGGTGTAGCAAATGCAGTCTTCTGAATTTGACGCTTTTTGAATGATAAATTGGAAGGGGGTCATTCAGTGGAGCTGCCAGCATAAAATTGACAATCCGCA